GCCCTCCTACCGTGTCTAAATAGCAAGCAGTTCCGTACCTTGAGTGTTGTCTTGTTTAAAAACGCTATCTGAGATTTGAGGTTCACTGGGCGACGAGAATGAAGGCGGCTGGTTTCTTGGATGCTGCATCATGTACTGTGGTAGATAATTAGCGACGTTACAGAGAAGCCTTCATTGGGGTGACGTTAAGTTCCTCGTAACGTCAGTCAGTATCTACTAGACTACACGATGCAACATCAACAAGGAAGCCATTAATCCGGTAATCGTATAGTCCCACCATCTGCCATCTATAATGTTACAGTTAGTTTCTCTCTGCTCACAGCTCATCGTCCTCACCGCCCTGGTGGCCGCTGCCCGTGCAGGAATCATTGGCGCACCCTTGGCCTACGCCACACATGGAGCACCTCTCGCTTACGGCGCACCAGCTATCGCTAAGGTAGCCGGCCCCGTAGCGGTCGACACCGACTACGACCCTCACCCCCAGTACAGCTACGCTTACGACATTCAGGACGCCCTGACCGGCGACGCGAAAAGCCAGCAGGAGAGCCGCGACGGAGACGTCGTCCAGGGCAGCTACAGCCTGGTAGAGCCCGACGGCACAGTGCGCACCGTCGAGTACACTGCTGACCCCGTCAACGGATTCAACGCCGTAGTACACAAGACTCCCCTGTCCGCACCCATCGCTAAGGTCGCCGCCCCAGTAGCATATGCCGCCCCCGCAGCGTACGCAGCCCCTGCTGCATATGCGGCACCCATTCACACGAAAGCCATCTACGGCTAACTTCCTCATTAATTTCGATAGTCACGACATTTTACGCATTTATTGTAGTGTAATACATGATCGTATTTCTTGTTACCCACTTGTACAGTCATAAAAATAAAGTTCTCCAACAATAATGTTCATGGGTTTTTACCAAGTAACACTCTGCTACCGCCTATAATCTGAGATAAGGCAACGCAAGCTATATACAAGTCTGTCACTAACCACCAACTCCTGCATCCTTTCTGACATGTTTCATATGAAGAATTTAAGCAACAGTTTAATTCCATTAAAAAATGTACGACTACTAAGAAGTAACTTGATCCTTATCTATTCTTCTTGCTTATAAGCAGGAAGATAGACATTTAATCACTCACTTTGGACTGACGAAGCAACTGACTGATACAACTCTCACATCTCATTCCATGATATCGGACTGACTTTGACATGGACCAAGGCTTCCCAACACGTGGCCCGGCGCTGCGTTCTGTACAATTGTGAAATTTTGCATCACCATAAATAATCGAAATTATTTACACCCTACCACCAAAATTAAATATTTAATTTCATAAGAGTATTTAAATAAGAAAATTTATTCTGTATTGAACAGTAATATCTTTACCTTTGTTTATTATAATGGAATGAAGATGAACTGCATTTAGAACCCGCTGTTCGTCACTTTATTAAAATACATTACATGTTTCAACTTAAATTAGTCATCATCAGGTGAGTTCTTTTATGTGCTCGAAACTAATAAACGGATGCTAAATCCTCTCCATATTTTAAACAAAATAACATTCGCATGAAAGTGTGCGACTGCCTTTCAGATCCCTACAGTTCGGCAGAAATAAGCGTGAGGAAATGTGGTGGTGAAATCCCCTTAATATTTTTAATGCCTCTACTCGGCAAACCCTTGGTCTGATACTGTCAGACCTTTACATGACCTTGAATTATCCGTGACCTCAACTTGACATGAGTGTGGTCAGATACCTACTGCTCGGCAGAAATAAGCGTGCGAAAATATGACCTTAAAATTAATTCGTAAAATTCCAAGGCCTATATTCGGCAAACTCTTGGCCTTATACTGCCGTGATCTTGAAATAACCTCGACCTACAGATGAACTCAAATATCCATGAGAATTGTCACTTAAGACACCTTCAGTTCGGCAGAAATAAGCGTGATAAAAATGACCAAGAAACATTCAAAGGACCATATTCCTCAAAACGCCGTCCTGATATTGTCGTGACGTTGACATGACCTTGACCTATACTTGACCTCAAGTTGACATCAGTATGGCCAAGTAAATTCATCTCACGTATTGCAAAGTAGCAAAAATTAACCCAGCCGTACGTAACATAACGTAAGCGTGCCGAAACGTGACTTAGTGACCAAGCGTTGCAAAGCGTGATATAGCGTGTCTAAGCGTGACTAAGCGAGACCTGCATTCATGTCGTGACAAGGAATCACCAAATGTTACGAAACGCGACGAAAATTTCAAAAGCGTGACCAAGCGTAACAAAGCGTAACTAGGCGTGACGAGAGGTCACCATGAGTGTTAAAATACGACGAAGATTTGAAAAGTGTGTCCAAGCGTGACAAAGCGTGACTAGGCGTGGTGTACTGTAACGGAGTGACGAAATGTGGCCAAAAGTGTCGAAACGTGACGAATATTTACAAATAGTGACGGAGCGTGACGTACTGTAAGGACGTGACTAATTGTGGCCGTAAGTGTCAAAACGTCACAAAATCCACTAAACATACTTAACCTAACCTAACCTAGCCCAACGAAACGTAACCTAACCTTACCCAAACTTTCTAAACTAAACTTACCTGTCGTAACATCATCTAACCTATTGCAAATTTGCCAAAATTAACCGAGCGTTCTACCATATTACACGGCACTATAACCCACAACACTGTCATCTTCAAACTTTAGTTATCTGTCGAGTGGTTAGGTCTACCACATAAGTTTAGTACTCATGAAAGACATAGACCCTGATTATATGCTTCGCTAATAGCAACCACGATAATAAACACAACTGATACACTTTTAACTGTACGATAAGTCTATAAAATTATCTCTTTCAGGTGTCAATAGATACGATCTCAGCCCTTGGTGTTTATGAGCGTTTAGTTTCGTTCTTAGATTGAAAGACGCCAAATTAACAGCAATAGAGCTACAGGATGGCATTAGATACGACGCTGGAAACCCTATAAAACTATGAAACGGAGTTGAGCAGATAAGAACAGTCTCTGAGTTGACCTTTCCCGAGGACTTTCGTCTTGTAATTATTTTCCGATTATTCGGTATGAGACAGGAGTACGTATGCATTCATAGAAACGGATAAGTACAGCCGAATATATTTTAAACGTATTGCTGTAGACAATAATGTGACGAGAAATGATCTTGGGTTTAGGGACTGTATTCTTGCACGATATACAAACGACGGGTCTACGTGCCGGATGATCATGCGTACGATACGATTTTGGGTAAGAACGATAAAAAGACAACTTAACTCGAATCTTTCCGCGGCAGCACTGCGGACACTCTGCCTTCACTTAATAATTCAATGCGTACCGCAAAGAAAACACGACAAATCGGCTTGTTAAAGCTGTTGGAGAAAATAATCGCATTTTACACTTAGAATTTATACCAAATATAAAAAGTGCACACTTACAGACTGAAAAGGTGGGGCAGATATGTACCACTAGGCTTTAAAGACAAGACCAATGCTACCTTTTAAAACGAATTTCTGTTGATGAAAAACGCTGTACCAAGAAAACTGTAACCAGTTCTATGTAGGATTTGAGGTTTTCACGGCGGTGGGTCTGAAGATTGCTGTCAACTGGGTTGTTATGCCGTGTAGTCTGGTAGATGTTCACCAGACTACGCGGCGCAACAACCCAGAAGACAACAAACTTCTGTAGCCAGTTCGCCGCAAACACGTGTGGGGGTGGAGGAATGCACTTTCGTAAGTGCATAATAGCACTCATATTGCCACGTTATCTGGGTCACACGAACTTACCACTAGGCGCGCGAGCAAATTTTCACCCATATAGATGCTAATCTGCACGACTACTTTTTATTCTCTCAAAACTCAGCTACAACTAGTTGTGACATTGGAGTGAAATTAATGTCTTGTTCAGCAGCAAGTCTGGACACGAGTCTGATATGCAATGGCGGCCTTCAGTCGCGTTATTTGCACGATGAACATAAAAGGAATGGATGACAGTCAACTACACAGCTCGTCAGTTCTTCTTTCTTTCTAAATTCTTAAATTAATTTAAATTTTATCGAATCTTGTACGTAAGTAATCCTGTTAGTCTTGTTCAATAGAATTATACACCAGCAACGCAGTTAAAAGTGTTTCGAAACTGAAGATACACACGCATATAAGGTGAGATAGTATTAAAATCCATCGTAAGAAACGGGTGTGAGAACGTTGCCTGGCTTCATTTGACTACAAGTTCCATAAAAGACTGGGAAATTCTTGGCTACCTGAAAGAATAGCAGCTTCTCAGAAAGACTCTGCTCTACATTTGAGCTTGTAACAAGGGATGAAAGATTAAAAAAGACATTTCGAACTTCAGTGTTTATTTCTACCGACATTCAAGTCGTAGAGAAGTGAAACTCGGACTAGAATGTTGGGGTATGCACTTTGAGGATTCCGATGTCAATCAAGTGTATTCAATACACAACCATGGAATCAAACGAAAAATTTCAGTCTGGATCAACCGTATTAGTATTGGAAACATTACGACTGCATGTAAAAGGTACCGAAAAGTTGACCAAGTGCATATGTAAAGTGCCATCAAGCCGTTTAGAAGACATCGGATTATAATACAGCACTCTTAACCTTGGTACCAACGGCACGCTCAGGTCAACTTCACTAGCGGTGGATAAAAGCCTTGGTAGGCCTCAGGGCATTCTTAACGAACAGGTAACACGCAATGTCTCCGGTAGCCCAGTCGTAGACAATTCACTTCAGATCGTGCAAAAAGTATAAGAAAACACAACAACAAAGCAAAGTCATGCCCATCGCCAAGGGGTAGTGGCGAGGTGCTTAGTTGAAACCTCGGCCTGTAAATTAGTCACGTGTAGCGAATCAGTCTGCCCATCAAGTAAACTCCTTGAACTCACTCTGCCACATTGCACCTCACTCAATTTTCCCTCAGATGAACTTGTATACGTCGATGACCAAGAAACCCAGACCTCCAAGAGAGGCGTGGTCGCCATTTGGGTGTCTGCCACCTAACTGGGGAGGCTTGCGACACAATCAGGTATATAAGCCCTTACAACCGTCGCCAGAACACAAACGTTCAAGTAACCATGGCATACAAGGTAAGACGTTCAGAGTCCAGTTTATCCGTCTAGTTCATAAGAAGTCGTCTGGCATCAGGAATTTCAGATAATTCGACACAAGCACACATAGCATTATGAATTAATATAGCCGTGTAAAGCAGAATAAAATCGACAGGAGTGTGAAAACTCGAAATAATTTCACATTTTAGGCATAAAAATTCCACCAGAAAGACAACAAGAAGTTAAAACTTAGGTTTACATAACACGGAAGTTACTAATAGATAAATATGGCAATCACAGTTGACGGGAAATTCGTATCGGGGAGATAAATGACCGTTTTTAAAGCCAGCTAATATATTTTATGAGAAATTTGTTCTCGTGCTGGAAGCTCCACAACATTAACGTCTGCACTCAGAAAGCAACTAACATAATGTCTCTCCACAGCTGTTCGTCTTCGCTGCCGTCCTGGCCGTCGCCCGCGCCGGAATCATCGGCGCCCCCGCCGTCGTGGCTCCTGGCGCCCCTTTCCGGGGACGCTAAGAGCCAGCAGGAGAGCCGCAGTGGAGACGTCGTCCAGGGCAGCTACAGCCTGGTAGAGCCCGACGGCACAGTGCGTACCGTCGAGTACACCGCTGACCCCGTCAACGGATTCAACGCCGTCGTGCACAAGACTCCCCTCGCCGCCCCCATCGCCAAAGTTGCTGCTCCCGTTGCCCGTGTAGCCGCCCCGGTGGCAATCGCCGCCCCCGTGGCTGCCCCAATCGGATATGCAGCCGGAATCCACGCTAAGGCCATCTACGGTTAATTTGCCATCCACCGTCTCTTTGTAAATACATCCTTCTCTTCAAATAATCGTCAATAAAAAAACTTCTTATGAATTATATTTTTCTTACACTCTAAAGATGTTACACCTCTGCTTTCATTTCCTTGGATTACGACTCCGTATGAACAACTGATCACAACTCAGCAACTCTTTAACTGTGGAAACAGACACCAGAGTAAACGGTGGATTCACGGCAAACAGACCCATTTATGCTGACGAAAAGTTGTCCAGCCACATTACCAATGCTAGTTCAACCTGTTAGTCTTAAATATAAAAAAATCAAGAAGGTACAATTGGCTACGGGTTATTGCGTGTTTTTTTAGTGGGGTCTGCTATCAATTTAAATTAAAATAATATGCACTTAGTCCAGAAGAGACAGCAGTACAATTTTATATGTTATAACGCAACACTGTCAGAAACCTTCGGACTTCGACCCAACATCTGCTCCAACATGGTCAAGCCGGTGAATATCCCTCTGCACTAAGCGTTGAAGGTGAGTATGAAGCGTGGTCAACTGTAATTTCATACAGCAGCCCTCACTGAGAAGATAACAGTAATTCAGCATTTGAAAACATTTCCCATTTATAATTCCCGGAGGTGTATTACCGTGTTCACAATAGCCCACCAATGCATCATAAACCACATGAAGCCAATTAACAGTGTCACACCTTGATGCCTTCTAGATCCCCATTTTACAGTATCCTTCCAACTAAGTCTCAAATACTTTCTTCAGGTTTTCAGACTAAAATCTTGTATGCATTTCTGAATGCCCCGTTATTGCTACACACCACGCGCTCTTGGCTTGATAAGTCTAATAACATCTCGGGAAAAATATACATAATTGATCATTATAATTTTTTCAGGCCAACAGCTTTGTCATTGATTATACAAGAATGTGGAAATCAACATTGCTTATAGGAGACTGTAAAATGCTGGTTCATTCAATTTGTTCTGTATACCCGTAAGAACAGGTTCAACAAGTTTCCAAATTTCCTACAAGCTGTATTTAATGGCCAGACAAGTGTTGCATGACGTGCCACAGCACGTCCAGAGTCGTTGATCTTGACTCGGCTTGCTCTCCGAACCACGCCCTAGGCCTACAATGTCGCACAACGACACAAAATTAAGGGTAAGAGTACTCAAATGTCTTAATTCCCATGACAAACAGCTCCTGCATCGCATTTTTGATATTCTATTCCAGACACACGGCACGGCAGGCCGAATGGAGTAGAAGCATGTCGAAACTATCAAATCGAATTCCGTTCGTGTGATTTTTAAACAATTACAAATAAAGACTTCATAAGAATTGTATGTTATGAAAGATTTACAAATTTCATGAACCCAGCAATGAAATACCAGAAGTCATGATGCACTTCGGAAAATCGGTCTAGAGCTGTCTCGAAATAGTGTAACCGTCCCTCCGCTGTAACTTGTCACTCAACGAAAGTTGCCACGGGTTCAAACCCTGTAGCGTGTCCGGTTGCTTGCGGTTACAACTTGAGATATATTTTTAGTTAGGTGGAAGGATATAAAGGGAAGCCGATGGTTGAAGCGGCGTTTGCACAAAGGAAGCGAAATCTCTTGTCTTGGGCAACTGATAGACGACACTGAGATGTTCTTGGAGAAGTACACTTACATTGCCTCTTGAGATACACAGACGTATATATATCCAATTACACTGAATGTAAGGCAGCGCGATGATTCGGCTGTTTGTCTTTATATGTTAAATTTTTAGGTTCAAGTAGAATGTGTCTGCCCGATTGGAGAACAAAACGTAAGCAGCTCCACAGCACAAGTACCAGGTTAAGAATACCCCCCTCAACCTGTAGTTGTTCTAAATTTTGAATTGAATACGGCGATCCGATTCGTTCCCCAAAAGTCACCCATGACGTCAGAAAGGCGCCGAAAAGCCATATTCAAATTTCATTGGTCCGTCGCCCCACAGCTACAGTTCCATGGCAACAATCATTCCTTATCTTGAAAGGCCCAAGTTCTCGCCTCGTAAACAAGTTTTACGGTTGCGAGAGCTAGACGGAAAGTCTGGAAGGAACGACTGATTGTCGCCTCTCACTTTCAATTTGATACATTAAACAATGCCAAAGTTTACGAAATTAATTACATTTTGATGAAGTAAGGCGTATCTAATTACCATCTAATCACGCCTCCTTCGTTTTTTTATAAACCAGATTAATGCGCCAAAGCCTGGTTTATCTTTTCATCACAAGGTTCAGCCCGTTCGGGAATCGAACTACGAGCCTGGACTGGCACAATAGGAACCCTCACACATAGTGGCGGAGTCACGTGACCACTTGAATCTGGGCATACAAAGTGAGATTAAACACTTTCAAACAACTGGAAGGGCTCATCGAACGGCCACCCAAGTTACCGGACCTCACGCCTGTTGAATTCTTTCTGTGGGGACATCTGAAGTCGGTCGTCTACGTTGAAGTCCAGAAAACATTAAGCAACTAACGGAGAAAACCAGACCTGAGTGTGTCAAGATCAGTCTAAATGCGTTAATATTCAAACGCGTTATAAGCACCGAATCGAAAAAATTTTCCACGTAGATGGCCAGGAATTCAAACACTGGCTCCAACTCTTTAACTTGACACAAGATTCGAAAGTACACACATATATTAACATAAGCACGACCAATGGCAACGTGGCAGTCGGTTATCCTGCCCAGTATTTTCCTCCCATATTTCCTCAGTTCCTCCCGACAAACGTTAGAATAATTACCGTGCGGTAGGCCACGATCACTTCCATCCTTCGCCCAATGTACATAAACACCTTTCTTTATTGGACGCTAAATGCGACGATTCTGTCTTCAAGGCAGAGTTTGACTCACTATAATCTCAGTTCTGTGCTGAAGATGGAAGTTATACTTTCCTTAGAAACTTGGTCACTATCTACAAGTCAGCGCCAGTGATTAACAAATCAACTGTACATGAGGATATTCAGAGGAAAAGTTGCAAGGTCTCACCCCCAACCCCATGATTCCTGAAGTGTATGATACCACAATTCGTCATGAAATTAATTTTGAGATGGAAAATTTGGTAATAAAGGGAGATTTAAGTGGAGTAGTTCCATGGTACAGAGGTTTATTGAACTGCCGACAGTCAATACATAAAAAAAATTCCTTTTATGTAATCCCAATTTGTACCGTATACCTTGAGTCAGTTAAATCCACTCCACAACCCATTTTATCAAGATCCGTTTTGAAATCATCCTACTATCTACGCCTCGGTTTCTTCTCTTAAGGTTTAGGATTAAACTTCCAATCAACCTGACGTTTCTCGGTATTCCTGCACTACTCAGCACGGTGACAAATATCGGACCAAGCGCAACGCCCGCGGGAAGGGTACGAGGCCCAGGCGTGGTCAGTGTCGAAACGCTTGCGTCACGCGGCGGTCAGTATAAATACGGCTCAGGCCCCGACAGTGTGCATACTCGCAGCACGACACACCACAACACACACACAATGATCTGCAAGGTGAGTACTATCTATTAAGTGTTTTATTAGGAACACTAATCGACACTAAGCGCTTAACCACTTCACAACCGAGTCAATGTAAAAGTTAAAGACATTACTTATACTGGCTGCAAGTCTCCCTGATACTTCATACTTTACAAAACCGAAAATTCGTGCATAATTAATTTATAAATATACACAGATGACAATCGAGTTCGTTTGACACTGTTAAATAAACAATAGCCCTGTTCAAAATATGTGGGTTCTGCTCACAAATTATTACATATAAAAGTGTGCTAATAGGCAATAAGTACTAACAATTTAGAACTACTTAAGTACCTAAATACGTTTTCATGTCTGACTCATCAAATTTCCATCAAATTGCAAATAATTACAGGCAAAATTAATGTTTTACCCAAGAAAAATTTTCACCAAATTACAAATAATTTTAAGGCAAAGTTAAAAGATGTTTATTATACAAATTCATCACATCACGTAAATATCCCAAATCCAGACAGTACAGTATCTGACTACGGGTAGGACGACTGGGGTTCGATACCCTGCAGGGGTACAAAATTTTTCATTTAGCCTTCGGTCCATATCGGCTCTGTGGCTCACCCAGCTTCATATCCAATGGGTACCGAAGGCCCTTACATCAACGGCAAAGCGGTTGAGGCGTAAAGGTGGATCACCAACGCTTTCATGGCGTGGAGCTCAGCGAGTTTCAGAATTGCGTTCCACTGTAAGATAACACCGCGAAACCTTCTAGATGGTGACCCAATTATCAAAGAAACGTAATACCTCTATTTTCATCACAGAAATGAGATTCTAGTCAGTCAAACAACGTCCTAAAGATGGAAACTGTAAGCTGCTTCGAAACGTTCGTAACCACCTACGAGATTACACGTCACAAATCACAAGGCACATTTTCATCTCTGTGAAAACCCCAACAGTATTCAGTTTTAAAATATCTGATAGAATGTTGCCTAGGGATCTTACTGAGGCCCATCTCCACCTTCTTGACTTTTATTTCTGAATGAGAATTTTCAAATACCGTAATTAAGTTATTCACATGTGTGCAGTGGACTGTCATGTCTCGCGTTTCATTTCTAGAATTACTAGTTGCAGTTTGTTGACATCTGACTGCATTACAATAAGCTGTCTGGCCTTTACATACGAACATTCAATAACACCGGCTGTCAATCGGCAGTAGAAGTTACAGAACTTAGAGGAACGTGCTTACGTCAAAACGTCCAGCCGCTGTTGGTAACAACGAACCAAAGAAAGCCACAGCATGTACCTTAATTATCAATTACTGGACATAAATAGCGTTTCTAATGTCTCTCTCAACCTTTGCCACAAATTTGGGTCTCGTGACTAGAAATATGTATATCCACATTACAGTCAGTATAAATTTTAAAAATCTTCAAAGCTGAGCACATCAACCTATCACGTATGAGACGCTGTGGAAGTCTCCCAAACACACTACAGTCTGGTTCCTAATAGCGTTTAGCAGCAAAAGTGTATACACTGGGTAAAGTTTAACATGGTTAATACGCCAACACCCACACGACACCTAACGCCCA